ATTTAAGTAAATGCTCTGTTTGTAATAAACAGTATTGGCAACGATTACTGTCCTGAATGTCCGAGTTATTTCATAGAAAATATCTGTCCTCTGACATCAACAATCCCTGTTGTAGTTGGAGCCTTCCGATTAGTTGGAAAAATCCAGTAGACACATTGAAGGAATTCCTGAAAACCCATGTCTTAAAGAAAAACTGTCCTCGCGTGTTCACCCATACTTTAAGAAGGGGTTTATCTACATAAAATATGATTTTTTTTAATTGGTCAGTGGAAGATTTCATGCTGCCAATTCTGAGCTTACGTCTCTGGGTGGGACCCGGAAAGAAATGTGTACACACCAGAAATCAAAGGATATCAAATAATAATAATAATAACAAATAATAATAATAATAATAATGACACATAACAAAATATAAAAGTAAATAAAACAATAGAAAGCAAAATATTTTCGAAAATATTTCATAAATATTAATCGTAATTATCAAGTAATCGATTAAAGTATAATTAAAAAATAATCATACAGGTTTATTAAAAATGAATGAGCCAATTTCCTGACGCATTGCTTCAGTTCTCTAGCATTGTTATGGAATGAGTCAGTGACCATTTGAAAGAAAAGTCTGTAAGTTTTGAATGGCTGCCACAAGGTCACTGTAGTCACGTCGGATCTTCGGCAACGTTCAGTCGATTCCTCAGTAAAAGGCGTTCTGCATTCTCAAGTTCGCGAAAACAAATTGTCATGGTACAGCGTGCTTTTCGAAGGCAATTGTACATTCATCGACTGTCACCTAAGAACATTCGGTGGTGGTTTAAACAGATTCAATATTGGGTGTCTGTGTCAAGGATAAAGTCCAGGGTGACCACGAGATTATGAGGAACAAGTGGTGAGAATCCGTTCTGCGTTTGAGGGGAGTTCACGGAAGTTCAAAAATCAAGGGAACCGTGAGCTTGCGATCTCCCAATCGATTATCTGGCATGTGCTAAGAAGACGACTACATTTGAAACTTTATAAATTACGCTTCATTCAGGCATTTACCAAGACGTTGCTCTTTGTTCTTGGCCTGCAAGATCGCCAGACATCAACGTGTGTGATCTTTTCTAGTGGGGACAAGTAAAAGATGACGTTTATGTTTAACCGCTACCTACTAACCTCGATGACCCTTAGACAAGAGTAGCATCATCGATCAACTTAGTGAAACACGATATTCTGATACGCGACTGTGATGTATTCTCTTATCGCATCAATGTTGGCCGTGTTGCAGGTGGTGGCCACATTGAAGGCAGGAAATTAGAATTGATTGTGCATAATACTTGTGACCTGGCTGAAGTTTTCTATTGCTTTTCCTTATTAAAATATTGCGTAATGAAATGGCTTCATTCTTTTCATATATATATATATATATATATATATATATATATATATATATATATATATATATATATTGTTGTGGATTCTGGATGAAATCTGGTCTCAAATGAATGACAAACGCATGAATGAAATATAGCAAATAAATGTATTGACGTAATAATACAATTGGTAATACGGTTAGTAGATCCAGAAATGCGGTTAGTAGCAATAATATATATATATATGCAGCTGGGAAATTCAGTATCGAAGTATGACTTCCTTCTGAGTCTACGTGCTTGCAACTCTGACTATTAGAAAGCGGTTACCCCACACCTTCACTCTCTCACTGTTCACTGTATCAGTGTATCTCTCGTCTAACTCTCGGGTATTCACCGGCAGCAGTCCAAGTACACACTGGGCGAGGCCACTTGTATGAAAAAGGGGTCAACCCCTTAACATATATATATATATATATATATATATATATATATATATATATATATACAAAGCAATATGATGATAAAAAGAGAATCTGGACATTGTTCGAAACGCTACTTGCACCACCAAACCAAAGTCAACAACCAACACAAACAGAAAACGAAATATTTTTTAAGTTCCCTGGTCAGTTACTTCGCCCCACACCCTATCAAAATCAAAATACAAAACAGCGAAAATAAAATATTGATCGATAGCTAATAAGACATTAAACCCAAAATATTGATGTCTTTGAGGCTACTGTTTTGATCCTGGGCTCTGGCACCAAAACAGAATCCTGTTCTTTTGACAGCAGCGCTAATCATTGTATAACACGCTTACTAATCCCACTAAGCTGCTGCCAACGAAAGAGAAAAGTTGATTCACAAAGCCGCCTTTTGTTTCCTGTTGTATAAAAGTAAAAGCAGGAAATCCTGAAGTCTTTGAAATTGGTATGAAAGACCTTCTATCATTAATGCAAGAACAGATTCTAAGACAAAATGCAGGAATAAAACGGAAATCCTTTCTCAATTGTGTGTATCAATGTATAGAACTAAAAGTGAATAACAACAAATTCAATATATATGTTTTATAAACATATTTATTTATTTATTATCGTTTTAATCTGTTTTATTCTATTTTCTCATATTAAGAATCATTTATATATTGTTAGGCTTTAGTACATATCAAGTTTGAATCACAAGTTCACATGCGATCAGCAAAGTTAAGCAACGTAGAGCCTGGTCAGTACCTAGATAGGTGAACGCTTGGAATACCAGGTGTTATAAACTTATATATGCGGGTAATGTAATACGATCAGCGAATTTAAGCAACGTCGAGCCTGGTCAGTACCTAGATAGGTGAACGCTAGGAATACCAGGTGTTATAAACTTGGATATGCGGGTAATGTAATACGATCAGGGGAGTTAAGCAACGTCGAGCCTGGTCAGTACCTAGATAGGTGAACGCTTGGAATACTAGGTGTTATAAGCTTGGATATGCGGGTAATGTAATACGATCAGCGAAGTTAAGCAACGTCGAGCATGGTCAGTACCTAGATAGGTGAACGCTAGGAATACCAGGTGTTATAAACTTGGATATGCGGGTAATGTAATACGATCAGCGAAGTTAAGCAACGTCGAGCCTGGTCAGTACCAAGATAGGTGAACGCTTGGAATACTAGGTGTTATAAGCTTGGATATGCGGGTAATGTAATACGATCAGCGAATCAAAACGTCGAGCCTGGTCAGTACCTAGATAGGTGAACGCTTGGAATAGCAGGTGTTATAAACTTGGATATGCGGGTAATGTAATACGATCAGCGAAGTTAAGCAACGTCGAGCCTGGTCAGTACCTAGATATGTGAACGCTTGGAATACCAGGTGTTATAAGCTTGGATATGCGTTTGATGTAATACGATCAGCGAAGTTAAGCAACGTCGAGCCTGGTCAGTATCTAGATAGGTGAATGCTTGGAATACCAGGTGTTATAATCTTGGATAGGCGGGTAATGTAATACGATCAGCGAAGTTAAGCAACGTCGAGACTGGTCAGTACCTAGATTAGTGAACGCTTGGAATACCAGGTTTTATAAACTTGGATATGCGGGTAATGTAAATAGGTCTGCTCTACGGTTGTATTGAGCTCTTTTGTTGGTTAGTTGTTTATCGGGTTTTTTTCTTTGGCCTTCGAAACTTTATCCGGGCGATTTTTTTTCGACGGACTTTCATGTTTGTAGCTCTTTCTTTTTTTAAAATCTTTTTTCCCTCGAGATTGATTTGATTATTGGCAAATCAGAAATTCGAGGGTTTTTCGAACGAGTATAGTTTCTTATATATATATATATATATATATATATATATATATATATATATATATATATATATATATATAGTTACATATATATATATATATATATATATGTATATATATATCTATATAGATATATACAGTTACTATATATATATATACCTATATATATTTATATAGTTACTATATATATATATATATATATATATATATATATATGTTTATCAAAATGGGGTACAATAGAGTCTCATCTTTATGTAAATCATCTATATGCTCTATAATAAATATAATGAACTCTTTTTTGTGAATCAGTTTTAATATTTTATTTTATTAGGATATACTTGGATTACTTCCCCATTTCGTAGGCGCCTATCCCTTCAGGAAGTGACGATCTAGGTGCCACATAATCTTCTCTCCATTGTAGCTCTGGATAATTTTTGTCAATTTAGTATCAGTCCCAATTCCTGATCCCCCACCCATTGACAAAACATTATGTAGGTTACTTCTGCCAATGGTGACGTCATTGTCCTGGGAGGATCGAATTCTAAAATCTCTCTCTTCTCCCTTTGTATCCCAGTAATTACAACTCATTCTACATAAAAAATATCGTTATAATTGCAATTTTCTTAAAGCTACTTCTATGCACACACACACACACACACACACACACACACACACACACACACATATATATATATATATATATATATATATATATATATATATATATATATATATATATACTTAATATTAGTGGTAAATATACATACATATGCAAAATATATAAATATATATACATAGGTGCATACACATACATATATATTTTTTGAATAAAAAATTCCAAGAGGATAGAATCCAGGTAGAACTCAATGTCCAGGACAGAGTAAGGATATAATAAAAAGGCTTAAACACTAATATACCATGGTCATAATTTATTCCATTGGAATCGTAAATACGATCCAATTCATCAGACCTACAAATTCAAAAAGAAAACAGAAAAAACAACTCGGAAAAATGGAAATAAAAATAGAATTTAGAGAGAGTGTAAGTATGAGAGTGTGGGACGAATGTTAGAGCTAAAGAGAGGGGTAACAGACGAGAGAAGGTGGGAGATTAAACCTTAACAGAGAGAGGTTTGGAGAGGTGAGTGGAAGTGGTTTAAGTGAGAGAAACATGAATGTTGCCGAATGTCTAATACATAAAAGATACATTTCGTGGTGACATACACACACCATAGACGATCTAATCTTAAAGATCAGAATAAGAGGGAGGGAGATGAAGGGAAAAGAAAAACTGTTATGGGAGAGAGATTTGGCGGGGGAAACTAAAATTGAAGGACATTTACGGAAAGGGCCGCTGTGTAATTAAGAAGATTTGACAAAATTAATATCGATTACAGGTTACAAGTCAAATATAAACATATAAAAATAAATGTAACGATTATCTAATCTAGCAAGGACCTATATTTTTATGTTCAAAAACACATGGGAATACACATACACACAATAAGCATATACGTACATATATATATATATATATATATATATATATATATATATATATATATATATATAATTATTTATTTAAAATATGATTCCAAATCGCTACATAAGAGGTCCCATGTTTCAAAACAAGAGCCGAAAACTTCAATATAATCCTTTAAATTAAATTGAGTTGAAAGTAAAATGGGCTCCGTTCCATCTTCAAGCGAAATTTTTGTTGGAATCCTCTTATGTAGCGATTTGGAATCATATTTTTAAATAAATAATTATATTTATGCTCTACTTTTTTAAAAAATAATAACTAAAATACTAAGGGACTTTGGATTATTTACCTAACCAGTTCCTTCCTATTTTCTATATATTTTCACATATTATATATATATCTATATATATATATATATAGTTAATGTTATCTCCTATCTCGTTTCCTGGGCATGACGACAAACTACATTCGGTAACAATTCTCTGAATGGGAGTGTGGAGATTTTGAGGAACGTGGAACCACCTTTTAATTGCTGTTGTCCACAGATCCACCCTGACTGAGCAAATAGTGAATCCCCAAACAAAAACAAAATGCTATAGAAGTATAAAAATACATTTTTATAGTAAAAATGCCAGCAATACATTTTAATAACGAAAAAATAACCAAGAATACATATTTATAATGAAATTACCAACAATACACCCATACTTACATTAATTACATTATTCAAACTGCTATCCTCATCTTCATTGCAATATTCACAACGTTTCGGTCGTTGTACGCTCCGGTCTTCTTCCGGTGATTGGAATTTCGAATCGAACCCGGAATTTCGTCCACCGGGTTAGATTGTTCAACTTCCCCGTGTCGTGCCTCTTTCGAATGTCTCAGGTATTTCTCTTTAATTCAATTCTCCAAGCTGAAGTGGAGAACAAAAAAAAAACTTGAAGAGTAAATAACTGAGAAATCTGTAAGAGGCATGACAAGTGGAAGTAGAATAATTTAAATAATGTATGTAATCATAATACCTCATATCAGGGATAGAGACAAAGACGCACATACTAACAAATTATAAAGACTTCACCCAAATCCGTTTAAAATAATATCATACATTCAATATGACAGAAGTCATTCATGGCATTAAGACTTATATCCTATTTCTTAAATCAAACTCTATTTCAAAATATATTTAGTTGAAGCCATAAAATTGCTCCATTTATTTACATTTCGGTATTGAAACAAGATCAACCAACCAAATAACTAACATGAAAAAGGATTTATGACATTCATCCATATAATATCCAACAATCTCGTCAACAAAGCTACTACATAAAACACATATAGCATCGCCTTTAGTAATCATGTCCACACAAACATCTATATGCACATAAGCTGAGTATCGTCTATCATGTATTTAACTGCGAAAGCAGAATAACATATATCATAATTTTATTAATTTAAAGCTTCCTAGTAAATTAAATTTCGTTATTGAAGAGTGAATTGAGCCTGTTCCATTTCCTTAATAATTCACTTATATATTACGTCAAATTTTTACTTCAAAGCCTGTAATCTTTTCTCTTAATTTTAATTTTATAGCGATTTTCTAAGCCCGGCTTAGATGTGGCACAAGGCCGAAAGTATGGGGCACCCAGTGAGGATCGACTCACTACTCTGTCGTAATTGATCTAGCAAGACAAGCTTCCTAACCATTACACCACGTCGAGGTGCCCTAATTTTAATTTTATATGCTTAGCTCAGATGAAAGGATTTTAATTTGTCCCAAAAGTTCAGACTCGTATTGACTATATAAATGGCATGAAATTCCCCAAATATTATACAGTTCGGAATCTTAAGTAGAGAGTTACATTCTAAATACAATCTCAAGAATTCTTCAGATAATGTCGATTTACAAGAGAACGTGATGTTAATCAAAGAAATATCTCTATCCTGCGTAAACACAGGAAATCTAATATTTTTCCCAATTCCCTAGTGCATTTATTCACCTGAAATCGAGCCAAGCAATTTACCAAAGATCTGAAAGCCTCTTCTGGATGTCGATAAAACAAAACCACTTTAATGCGAATTCCAAAACTCTAACTATACAACACCAGGTTTCTGGTTTCACATATGCAACAGAAAAAGAAAGAAAGAAAAAAAACGATCTTAGAATGCGATGTAAGAAAGAGAAAAAAATATTTTGCTTCGAGAGAAATACAAAGCATTACTTAATTACAAAAGAACGGATTTATTTTGAATAAACATTGATAAATTGCAGTTGCTTTTGAGATGCAATCTTACATATTTGTCGCTGCGTTTCGTTTAACGAAGAAATCAACATGAAAAAAGTTCCACTGGACAATATGTCTGCTGGGATATAAGGATGGGATGTTGAGTTGCATAAGCAAACGTATTTATTTTGATGTCTTGCAATTTAGCCAGTCATAAAATAATTACATCATAGAAATCCAACAACTCAAAAACAGCATTAAAATAA